TGTCGAGGCGGACGACCGGAGCGCAGGTTACCAACCGAGCCATGAGGTTGGGTCGCGATGTGAACAGTGGCGGGAACAGTAGTCGAGGCAAGTGTCACAAATGGTAACGGATTACTTTTGAGTACTGTTGGCGGGAACAGTCGTATACGCGGTAAGAAGGGGTGCGAAGTAAGGAAAAGGAACTTCCCTCATACGTTACCACTTTAACCTTGTTATGAGTTGTAAAACAGAGTTGCGCGAAAAACGAATAACAAAGCTGTGACAATATGGACTGACGGTACAATGAAGGTCGCGGAGATGATGTAGCAATTACCCTAGCTAGGTGGGAACCTCGGGAACGCGATGATGGGTGTAGGTTGGCCAAGGGGAAAAACGAAGGCGACGCGATGCAGCCTCGGTATCGCTGATGTCAGCCGAACGTGCATGTCCAAAAGTTGGGGTCGTACATGAGGCAGTAAATCTTGGTAAGGAAAATGCGATGGCGTTCCGAATGGCTTCGACAGTTTTTTTTTTTTTTTCGAATGTACTGGAGTTCCATCACAAAGTGTTGTAACCTTGGTACTGGGGTCTCAGGTGTTTTGAATTAGAAATGAAGAATGACTAGAAACACAGCAGTACAAGGTTTGTATATGCAAAGCCTAATTGAGCTGTACCCCATAAAGAGTGCCCCCACTACAGCCTAGAGCATAGTTCTGACACACCCCCATAGGCTAAGTGGGGGACAAGCAAGAGAACGAAGCAAGGTCAAGCCCAGGGTGGATCACAACGTCACCACACATTCTGAGCACAAGCAAATGGCCACAAGGCCAGTTCACATGCAGAGTTATATATATAGGAGGACAAGGACAGTGATCAAAACCTAGCAAGTGTAAGCATGCAGGTATAAATATATAGATAACAGTACAGGCAATGTCAAGAAGTGAGCAAGTGAGGCCAAGTAGGCACAAGACCTAGAACAGTACAGAACCGCTGATAATCACAAGGCTGAAGTGCCTTGGTGAAGATATCAGCAGTGTTGGCCTGAGAGGCCACGTAAACAAAACGAAGCTGACCACGCTGCTGCAACTCTCGAGCAAGGAAGTAACGCAGAGCGATGTGCTTCGTTTTGTGCTCCAGTCCGTGTTCCTGACATAAGGCAATTGCAACCTTGTTGTCTACGTACAGTACTGTAGGAGAACGAGGCCGCTCTCCCAAATCGGTTAGCACGTAAATGAGCCAGCGTCACTCCTGTGCAGCCATGGCTGTCGCGTAGATCTCAGCCTCACAACTTGAGCTTAGAACAGAAGGCGAGCGGTTAGACCGCCAAGAAACAAGGCCGAAGCCAAGGCTGAATGAGTAACACTGAGACGACCGTTGCGCAGTCAGGTTGTCAACCCACAAAGTGTCTGAGTGTCCACTGAGGACAACTGGACCTCGCCCTCCAAGCATGAGCCCCATGCTCGACGTACTGCACAAGTAGCCCATCACCCTCTTAGTGGCCTTCCAGTGCTGTGGTCGGTGTCTCCCGGGCGCAACGAAGCGTTCAAGGTTGCTAAGAGGGTAAGCAAGGTCAGGTCGAGTGCAGTTCATCAGATACATGAGGCAGCCCACAAGCTCTGGATACGAGCCACTCGGCTCTACGGACTCATCCGAAGGCAGAGGTGAGAGCGAGTGACTGGTAGGCAGAGGAGTGGACTGTGGCAAGGAGTACTGAAAGTTGAAGCGCTGAAGGACCTGCTGCACCATGTGTGACTGAGTCAAGGTAATGGTGCGCCATGCTCTGTCCCGGGTGATCTGCAAGCCAAGATAGCTGCGCAGCTCACCGAGGTCTGTGCACGTGTGTCTCTTCTGCAGCTCCGACTTCACTAGAGTCAGTGCCTCAGTATTAGTAGTGGCAAAAACCAAGTCGTCGACATACACGAGGATGTAGAACGGCGGCAGCGAAGTGTCGGTGCGTAGAAACAGCGACGGGTCAGCAGTAGAGGGAGCAAAGCCAAGAGCCGCAAGTGTAGTCCTCAGTGTGTCGTGCCATTTACGAGGCGCCTGGCGGAGACCGTAGACTGGCCGCCAGAGGGGGCACTGGGTACCTACAGGAAACGACCTAGTGAAGCCAGGTGGGCGGCGCAGCCAGATCTCCTTGTGCAGGCTGCCTTGTAGGAAAGCAGTGCTGAAGTCAAGAGAGTGAAGCTCGTAGTCACCCTGAGCGGCGACGTGCAGTAGAACCCAAAGAGTGGTCATCTTTGGGGTCGGGGAGAAGGTCTGGAAGAAGTCAACTCCCTGTCGCTGACTAAAGCCTCGTGCAGCGTAACGCGCCTTGAAGACAGGCGGAGAACCCGGCGGCCGCTTCACCCTGAAATTCCACATGCCACTGACAATGTTCACCCTAGGAGGGGGAACCTCGTCAACGTAAGTGCTTGTGGACTTCCAGGATGCCATCTCTGCGTCCATGGCTGACAGCCACTAAGAGGAGTAGGGACCCTCTATCGCCTCTGCGTAAGAGCGCGGGGTCGGGATGTCTGGTGCATCTGGCTCTCCCTCAGGTGCAATCAGCATGGACACGAGATGAGGTAAAGCAGCTGCAAAGCACTCAAAGTCTTCCTGCTTATCCTCAAGGACGTCCGTGCCAAGAGCACACTCACCCCCGACGGACGGAGGACAGACAGACTCTGATTCAGCAACAAGGCTAGCGGCATAGTCTAGACGACCGCGAACAGCAAAGGCGACAAGAAGTAAACTCAACTAAGGCAGAGTCAAAGGAAGGGTCAGTGACAACAGTAGCTAGCAGACGCATAACGGTAGGGCTGGGAGCACGAAGTGTGTCAGACTCAGGGTCCGGACTGTTAGCAAGGGAGGACGCAGGAGGAGACCGCAGAGGCACACGTAGTGGAATATAGGAAGGACGAAGTGCCATCTGGTGCGTGCCGGGGACAGGAGGAGGACGTGGACGCGGAACACGACGACTAGTGCGAGCAGCGCGAACAGGCGACGCAGGGCGAGACGCAGGCTCACGTCGCTCAGCAAGACCTCCGGCCGGTCCAGTGTAAGGAGAAGGACGAGGCAGTGGGGAGGCAGGCTGTAGCTGCGACTGCGACTGGACAGGTGGTGGACACTCTAAGGGAAGAGTAGGACCAGTAGAAGGAGGGAGACCAAGAACCTGCTGAAGGTGTGGAACGAAGTACGTCCGCGGTTGTGCAGCACCACCACAAGAAGCAGAGACGGCTCCAGCACCCCCAGCTCCAACTCCTGCAGCACCACTAGCTCTAGCACCAGTAGCACCACCAGCAGGAACAGCTCCAGCGCCTCCAGCTCCAACACCAGTAGTACCACTAGCTCCAGCACCAGAAGCACCTCCAGCAGGAACAACTCCAGCGCATCTAGCTCCAACTCCTGCAGTACCACTAGCTCTAGCACCAGCAGCACCTCCAAGAGGTACAGCTCCAGCGCCTCTAGCTCCAACTCCTACAGTACCACTAGCTCCAGCACCAGCAGCACCTCCAGCAGGAACAGCTCCAGCGCCTCCAGCTCCAACTCCTGTAGTACCATCAGCCCCAGCAGCTCCAGTACCTCCTGTACGAGCACCTCTAGGACCAGTGGCTCCAGTACCTCCAGCAGCTCCAGCAGCAGCAGGACCTCCAGCTCCAGCAGCACGGCTCCAGCGCCGAGCAAACCACTCGCGCAGCTGCGGTGGAGAGAGTGGCTCCCGCCGGGACAAGACACCCGTAGGACCTCCAGAGGACAAAGTACCTCCAGGCTCCGCACGCTCAGGCTACACACTCTCAGGCTCAGCACCCCTAGGCTCCGCACCCTCAGACCCAGCAACCCCAGGCTCAGCACCCCCAAGCTCCGCACACCCAGGCTCAGCACCCCCAGGTCCCGCACCCGCAGGCTCAGCACCCCTAGGCCCCGCACCCGCAGGCTCAGCACCCCCAGGCCCCGCACCAGCAGGCTCAGTACCCCTTGCAGTACCAGAGTCGACAGCTACCTCGACAGGCTCGACACTGTCTACCTGGGACACACCTGAGGGGGCAGGACCGTGAGGGGGGAGGGGGTCTACCGGAGGAGGATCTGGTGCTAGGAAGAGCGGCGGGGGGGGCAGTGTGGTAGGGGAAGAGACGGTAAAAGGGAACCGACTCATCAAACGTAAAGTCCTGAGAGGACAGAACACGGCGCAAGGTGGGGTGGTAAAACTGCCAGCTAGGCGCGTCAGGGGGGAAGCCAAGGAAGACGCAGGGAACAGCACGGGAGGACAGCTTGTCCGCGGACAAATCGCGGACAAAAGCTCAAGATCCCCAGACGCGGAACACAGACGCACCGCCAACCTTCCCTGTCCACCGCAGAGCAGGTGTGGTCTCCGGAACGAAGACACGGGGCTGGAGGTTGAGTTGATGCGCAGCGTACTCAACCACGAACGGCCATAGAAAATGGGGAGCAGCCGCATGGATCATGGAGGTACGAGCGACGTCCATGACCATACCAATGCGGCGCTCAGCAATCCCATTTTGTTGTGGGGAGGCCGGAAGCATGAACGTGTGGCGGATGCCCTCCGCACGACAGAAGGCCTACAGAAGGTCGGAGGAAAATTCTCCACCTCTGTCAGAGTGCAGACGTAGAACAGGAAGGTCCAAGCCGAAACTCTCGATAAGCTGGCGACGGGCAGCGCGGATTCAGTCAATCAGCACCTCAGTGACCTCACCCTTGTGGCGCAAGGGGAAGACTGTGGTGTAACGTGAGTAGTCGTCAACGACCAGCAGAAAGTAACGCTCATGACCGTGTCCACGGACGCGGGCGGGGCCCCACACGTCCATGTGGAGAGTCTGCAAAGGAGCCTCTGTCCATGCGCGCCAGGCGTCAGTCAGGGGACCAAAACAGCGCTGCATAGCGTGCAGCAGCCCACACGTCTCCCCATGGCGGTCGCCGGTGCGGAGAACGTAAGCGCAGGGACCAGCATCCCCAGACCTCCCACGCCCAGCGTACCACTCACGAAGCTACTGGGGCGATGGGGCCTCACGGGAACGCTGCTGCTACTGGCGCTGGCCACCGCCAAAGCCTCGCTGCGCGGCTCCACCCCGACCAGCACCACTGCCGCCACCACCCCCACTGCCGATACCGCCGCCGCATCCACCTCCAACGCCGCCACCGACGCCCCCACTCCCGCCTCCACCCCCACCTCCACTCCCACCCTCTCCACCTCCTCCACCGCCACCACCGCCGCCCCCGCCGTCCCCTCCACCACCCTTTCCCCTCGTGCCCTTGCAGCTGCGGCGCCTCCCACTAGGAGCAGACGCAGCCCCGACTGCCTCGGTGCCAACGAGGTCGACAGCAGCAGCAGAAGCAACAGAGGTCAAAAGGGGAACTGGGGAGCACCCCTCAAAGAAAGGGGTGCGAGGGTCGCCGCGAGAAGCTCCTACAGCGACTATGCTAGTCTCAGCTGCAAGGAGTCGCTCCTCGAGCAGGTCCACGGTGAGCTCAGTGGGGCAAAGGGAGAGAAAGTGGTCCCTGACTGAGCGGAGAGAGTCAGGGAGACGGGTGACTAGGTAGAAGAGGGTGATGTACATGGGGGGGGGGGTTCTTGGCGCGAAACTCGGAGGGAAGCGCAGCACTGTAGCAGGTGTGACTAGTGCAGAGGTGTATGATGAGGTCAGCGACTGTGGCAAACGCGGCTAGTTCAGGGAACAAGTACGGTAGCATGAGGCGCCTGAGGGCAGCAGAGGCAGGGGAGGAGTAACGTGCGACAATAGCATCATACAGAGATTTAGCAGTCTTGTACTAGCCAAAGTGCACGCGCTCAGCAGACGGCAGGTGACTACGAACAGCAAGGCGAGCAACAACGTCACGAGTAGTCCACTTGCAAGCGAACCGTACTGTCAGCGTCGGCAGCAGGTGCAACAAAGACACCGGACGTGTGATCGAACAGCGAGACTCCGCCCCTAGAGTCGCACTGAAGATAGAGCTGCAAGTCATCTACCCAAACCTTAAAATCGACCGCACGGCCCTCAGCATCGAAGTTAAGCACACTAGGACTAGCCATGGCGGCAGTAGCAGCAGGGCAGGGCGGCGCGGCACGGCAGGGCGGCGCGGCTCGGCAGGGCGGCGCGGCTTGGCAGGGCGGCACGGCTCGGCAGGGTGGCGCGGCTCGGCTAGGCGGTGCAGCGCGGCAGGCAGGCAGGCGCAGCGGCGCGCTTGGCAGGGTAATCGCTTACCAGGGGCGGGTGCAGGGCAGGGCCGCAACTGGCGGGCAGGGCACGGCCGGTACAGGGCGGCAACTGGGCAGGGTCGCTACGAGGCGGCAGCAGGGCAGGGCCGCTACGAGGCAGCAGCAGGGCAGGGCCGCGATGGGGCGGCGGTAGCAGGGCCGCGACGGGGCGGCAGCAGGGCAGGGCCGCGAAGGGGCGGCGGTAGAACAGGGCCGCGACAGAGCGGCAGCAGGGCAGGGCCGCGACTGGGCGGTTGCAGAGCAGGGCCGCGACGGGGCGGCTGCAGGGCAGGGCCGCGATGGGGCGGCTGTGGGGCAGGGCCGCGATTGGGCGGGTGTAGGGTAGGGCCGCGACGAGGCGGCGTAAGGGCAGGGCCGCGACGGGACGGCAGCAGGGTAGGGCCGCTACGAGCCAAGAGGGCAGGGCCGCTACGAGCGGCAGTAGAGCAGGGCGCCCGACGGCGCTGGTGAGGCAGGCGCGTAGCGCGCTTCAGGCAAGGCAGATTTTTTTTTTGTTTTTTTTTTGTTTTTTTTTGTTTTTTGTTTTTTGTTTTTTTTTTTAAATCGTGGTGGGCCCTTAAAAAAAAACGTTTACACTAGGGAACCTGCTCTGAAACCATGTCAAAATTAGGAATGAAGAATGACTAGAAACACAACAGTACAAGGTTTGTATATGCAAAACCTAATTGGGCTGTACCCCTTAAGGAGTGCCCCACTACAGCCTAGAGCATAGTTCTGACAAGGTGCTGTCATTGTGGGTACTACATGATCTCTTTCATTGTCAGATATATATGACATAGCTGTTGTAGGCTATAGTGGGGTAGCACATATGGGGTACAACTCTCTAGGGTTTGCATTTGTACCCAGCTTTGACTTAGTCATTTCATTCCTGTTCTAGTATTCTCACATGGTATAGAGCGGGTTCCCTGTGGGAACTTTGCCTAGGGCCCACCGAAGCGCGCCCCGAGGCGCGCTAACCTTTTTTTTTTTTTCTCTCTCTCTCGAGCGACCCTCCGTGTCGCCCTTCCCTCGCGGCCCCGCTGCCCTTTCAGACGCGGCCTCGCCGCCCCTTTCGAACGCGGCCCCGCCGCCATTTCAGACGCGGCCCCGCCGCCCACTTCGGACGCGGCCCCGCCCGCCCCTTCAGACGCGGCCCCGCCGCCCGCTCCGACGCGGCCCCGCTGCCTGCTCAGACGCGGCCCCGCAGCCTGCTCAGACGCGGCCCCGCCGCCTGCTCAGCCGCGGCCCCGCTGCTGGCTCCGACGCGGCCCCGCCGCCCACTCGGACGCGGCCCCGCCGCCTGCTCAGCCGCGGCCCCGCCGCCCGCTACGAAGCGGCCCCGCCGCCTGCTCTGACGCGGCCCCGCCGCCTCCTCAGCCGCGGCCCCGTCGCCCACTCAGGCGCAGCCCCGCGGCCTGCTCAGCCGCGGCCCCACCGCCCGCTCCGACGCGGCCCCGCCGCCTGCTGAGCCGCGGCCCCGCCGCCCTCCCCTCCGACGCGGCCCCGCCGCCTACTCAGACGCGGCCCCGCCGCCCGTTCCGACGCGGCCCCGCCGCCGTCACTCGCGGCCACCCCGCCCTTGCGCGGCCCCGCCGCCTCCTACCTGCGGCTCTAAGGCCGCCTCTACTGCGGCCCTTCGCCGTCCCTGCAACCCGGCCCCGCCGCCCCCCTTCCTCTCGCGCCGCCCAACTGCGGTAGCCGAGCCGCCCGCCTGCAGCAGCCGAGCCGCCCACCTGCAGCAGCCGAGCCACTCACCTGCAGCAGCCGAGCCGCCGGACCACCGAGCAGCAGTGCACCCGAGCCGCCCTTCACCCGAGCCGCTCTGTCGCCGAGCCGCCCGGGAGCCGAGCCGCCCAGTAGCCGAGTCGCTGAGTCACCGAGCCGCCCTTCTGCAGAGCTGCCCGACCTGCCCTGCCCGGTGAGCACAGTACCGCTGTCACTGCGTGCTCTTCCCCTACTGCTTGCACTGCTTCGCTGTCGTCGTCATGGCTACCCCTAGTGTCCTATCTTTTGACGCTGAGGGTCGCGCCATTGACTTTGAGGTCTGGGTAGACGACCTGCAGTTGTTTTTACAGTGCGATAGGGCAGACGGCCTCTCTCTCTTTGACCTCACTTCTGGCGCCTCTCCTGCCCCTGCTGCTGATGCTGATCCCACTGTGCGCTCTCAGTGGGCCACCCGCGATGCTGCTGCACGTCTTGCTGTGCGTCGCCACCTGCCTACCTCTGAGCGCGCGCACTTTAGTCAGTACAAGAGTGCTCAGACCTTGTACGACGATGTAGTTGCGCGCTACTCCTCCCCTGCCACTGCTGCACTGAGCCGTCTCATGCTTCCCTACCTCTTTCCTGACCTCTCTGCCTTTCCCACTGTTGCTGACCTCATTACGCACCTCCGCACTAGTGACACTCGCTACCGCGCCGCCCTTCCTGCTGAGTTCTGCGCTAAGAACCCCCCCCCCCCCATGTACATCACTCTCTACTACGTAGTCGCGCGCCTCCCTGACTCCCTTCGCGTAGTCAGGGACCACTTTCTCGCAGTCTGTCCCACCACCCTCACCGTCGACGTCATCGAAAAGGCCCTCCTCGCGGCGGAGAAGAGCATCGTCGCTGTAGGAGCTTCTCGTGGTGACCCTCGCACCCCCATCTTTGAGGGGTGCTCTCCTTCCCCCCTCCTGCCCTCTGTTGCCTCTGCTGCTGCTGCCGACCTGCTTGGTCTCGAGTCGGTTGGCGCGACGTCTGCCCCTAGTGGGAGACGCCGCTCTGGCAAGGGCAAGGGGGGCAAGGGCGCTGGTGGAGCTGGAGGGAACGGTGCAGGTGGCGGTGGAGGCGGCGGAGGGAGTGGGGGTGGCGGCGGGAGTGGTGGCGGGGGTGGTGGTGGTAGTGGTGGCAGCGGCGGAGGAGGCGGCGGTGGTGGCGGCGGCGGTGGTGGTGGCGGCAGTGGTGGCGGTGACGGTGGGGGAGGCGGTGGCGGAGGAGGCGGTGGTGGCGTAGGAGGTGGAGCTGGTCGAGGCGGTACCCAACAGCGGAGCGGCGGTGGTGGTGATCAGCGCTCGCAGCAGCAGCAGCAGCAGCGTTCGCGTGACGTCCCTCCGCCCCAGCAGCTCCGTGAGTGGTACACTCGGCGTCAGAGGGGTGGGGGTACTGGTCCTTGTACCTACGTCCTTCGCTCTGGCGACCGCGCGGGTGAGCAGTGTGGGGGTGCCCACTCCACCCAGCGCTGCTTTGGCCGCCTGACGGACGCTTGGCGTCAGCAGTTCCCCGGGGCTAGTGAGATCCCTCGCTGGGATGAGCTTCTTAGAGCTGGTGTAGCGATCTTTGATCTTGATTTTGATGCTATCCTTGCTGCTATGTATACTGTGACTATTAGTGAGGAGGGTGACTGTTACCGGTGTTTCCCGCCTGACCCAGGCATTGGTACTGCTGCGCTAGGTGCTTGTGAGGCTGCTGCTCTAGGTGCCAGTGCGTCTGTGCTCTCAGGTGCTGGTGAGACTGCGCTCTCAGGTACTGCGTCGCCTCCGTCCTCCCTCACTTTCACACTTGACTCCGGGGCTTCTCGCTCCTTCTTTCAAGACCGCACTACCCTCACGCCGCTTGACCGGCCCATTGCGGTCTCCCTGGCTGACCCATCTGGGGTTCCTGTCCTCTCTCACTTCTCCACTGTCCTCCCGTGTCCGGCTGCCCCTTCGGGCACCCTGTCTGGTCTGTACCTTCCCTCTTTCTCTACAAACTTGGTGAGTGGCGCGGACCTGCAGGATGTGGGGGTTTACCAGTTCACTCCTGCGAGTTAGCGGGTGACCCACTGCACGGAGGCACGCACAGGCCGACACCTGGCCACGTTCTCGCGTCGGCCGGGGTCGAGTCTCTACACCCTGAACGTTGAGTCTCCTCCTGTCCCTGCGTCTGGTCAGGTAGCTGCGTCAGGTCAGGTGCTTGCTGCTGCGTCCCGGTCAGGTCCTGAGTCTGCCCCCTGTTCTTGTCGCCTCCTGTCTCACGAGACTCTCCTGTGGCACCACCGTCTTGGCCACCCCTCCTTGCCCCGTCTTCGGAGCATGGCTTCCCGTGTCCTTGTCTCTGGTCTTCCCCAGTCTCTCCCTCCCCTTCCCTCCGGGCCAGGACCTTCCTGTGTCCCCTGTGTCGAGGGTCGCCTCCGGGCTGCTCCTCACTCCTCCCAGTTCCCCCCGACAGAGGCTCCTCTGCAGACGCTTCACATGGACGTGTGGGGCCCAGCCCCCATCCGTGGGCAGGGTCACGAGCGCTACTTTCTGTTGGTGGTTGACGACTACTCGCGTTACACCACAGTCCTCCCCTTGCGCAGCAAGGGTGCTGTCACTGAGGTGCTGATCGACTGGATCCGTGAGGCTCGTCTCCAGCTCAGGAAGAGCTTCGGCTCGGACTTTCCTGTTCTGCGTCTGCACTCGGACAGAGGCGGAGAGTTCTCCTCGCGCCTTCTGCGAGACTACTGTCGTGCACGGGGGATCCGCCAGACCTTCACGCTTCCGGACTCTCCACAGCAAAATGGGATTGCTGAGCGCCGCATTGGCATGGTCATGGATGTCGCTCGTACGTCCATGATGCATGCGGCTGCCCCCCATTTTCTGTGGCCGTTTGCGGTGAGGTACGCGGCGCATCAGCTCAACCTTCACCCCCGGGTCTCTCGGCCCGCGATGTCCCCAGTCTTGCTGTGGACGGGGAAGGTTGGCGATGCGTCGGCGTTCTGTGTCTTGGGATCTCGGGCGTTTGTCCGCGACTTGTCTGCGGACAAGCTGTCCCCTCGTGCTGCTCCCTGTGTCTTCCTTGGCTTCCCCACAGACGCTCCCGGGTGGCAGTTTTACCACCCC